TGTGGAAGTCTCTTCCAGCTTCTTGTTTTCCAGTCAACTACATTCTACAGAAAGTTAAATGCAACTTTGACCGTCATCTTTTGTCGCCTTGAATCACGCTCTTTTTAATGTCCGTTCGCTTCACTAACACCTTCTCGGTTTCCTTCACACCTGGTAACAACTTACGTCTTGATGATTCTAATGCCTAGTTTCCATTGAAATGATTAAAGAAAATTAAGTCTTCTAGCAGGCTAATTTTATCCCTAATGCTCATTAACATGTGCAATAATTTTATCTTTCCCGTCCATTTTCACCAAATAAATAATGATATTATTTGCTCAAAAGACATCATCACCATTATTATTATTATTATTATTATTATTATTATTATTATTATTATTATATATCTAGTCGTATTCCATCTTATTATATTGTGGATTGATTGATGCGTTCTTCATTATAATAATAATTATTATTATTTTATAGCTAGTTCTATTCCAGCTCATTATTGTTGCTTATCACAACGCTATCGATTGTTTCACTCTTCATTATTCCTCTAATAATAAAATAATAATAATAATATTACATAGATAAAGCCCTTCGTAAAGTGTGGGCTGTACTTTTCAGAACAATTTTTTGTATCTCCTTGAGGCATGGACATCCAGGAATCCCTTCAATTAGTCTACTGCAATCTTTTCCAACCAGTCCTAGGGCTCCAACTACAACAGGGATTGTTGATGTTCCCATATGACACATTTTCGAGATTTCTATTTCAAGGTCCTTGTATTTTGACAGCTTTTTGAATATCTTCAAAGATACATTATTATTATTATTATTATTATTATTGTTATTATTATTATTATTTCCTTTGATTTCTGGTGGATACTCATTTCTTTCCGGGCCCCAACAAGAGACCTAAGCTCAGAAATGATATCGTCTTATTTTCCACTCAGCATTTTTAAATTCCCCACCAAAAAAAAAAAAAAACAAATAAAAAAAAACTCAAGATCGTACATATTTTACATAGATAAAGCCCTTCGTAAGGTGTGAGCTGCACTTGTGAATATAATTTTTTGTAATTTTTGAGGCATAGTCTACCAGAAATGCCTTCAGTGTGTCCATCGGAACATTTTCCATTCAATCCGAGGGCTCCAACTACAACTAGAGTTATTGATGTCCTCATGTGTCACATTTTTGAGATTTCAACGTCAAGGTCCTTGTATTTTGATAAATTTTTGAAGATCTTCAAAGATACATTGCAGTCTGCAGAGACTGCCATATCAATAAGGAGGCAATTTGTTTTGTTTGCGGTCTCCAATTACTATGCCTCGTGTGTAAGGTTAGAGATGGCATCACGACACTTTTCACTGACAAAAAAAAATTACATAGTCAAAGCCCTTCGTAAAGTGTGGGCTGTACTTGTCAGAACAATTTTTTGTATCTCTTTGAGGCATGGACTTCCAGGAACCCCTTCAATTAGTCTACTGGAATCTTTTCCAACCAATCCTAGGGCTCCAACTACAACAGGGATTGTTGATGTTACCATGTGCCACATTTTCGAGATTTCTATTTCAAGGTCCTTGTATTTTGACAACTTTTTGAATATCTTCAAAGATACATTGCAGTCAGCAGGGACTGTCATATCAATAAGGAGGCACCGTTTTTGTTTGTGGTCTTAAATAAAAATATCTCGGCGGTTGGCTTTGATTGTTCTGTCAGTGTGTATTGTGTAGTCCCATAGAATTGTAACAGGTCCTAACTCCGTAACCGGGTCTGGGTGGTGTTCATACCAGTTTCTTTCAGTTTCCTTCCCGTAGAAGTTGCAGATTTTCCAATGCAGATATTGGCCCAATCTGTCATGTCGGGTTTTATATTCAGTGGGTGCCAATATCGTGCAACCTGATACAAGATGATCAATTATTACTGGATATTTATCACAGAATCTGCATTTTCGGCTGACACAATATTTTAGTATATGTGCTTGATAATTCCTAATTAGCAAGCATTGGTCCTGCGCAGCAAGGATAAAACCTTCAGTTTTAGCATTCAACCCTGCACTACGGAGCCACTGATGGGTACGGGTTTTGTCTACCTCAGCTTGTTTGGTACGGGCAGAGTATTGGCCATGAAGCGGTTTATCTTGCCATTGTTTCTGCATCTGTTATTATAATAGGTAACATAAAATAAATTAACGTAACAAAGTACTGGTGACATTCGTCGGTACCAGCTGATTCAGCATACGTAATTATACCTAAGCAAATGCCTACCATACACCAAAAATGATAGAAATGTTCTTTTTATTCTTTTATGTGCTGTGTTCCTTCAGGGCGTAGGCGATCATGGCTCTTCACAATTTCCAATCTTTTGTATTTCTTAATATTTTTTTGTTATCATTCCTAAACTTTGTTCCTCCATGCTTTTACTCAAGCTTATTCAGTATATTATACGTTGTTTTCCTCTGTCCTTCTTGCCTTCAATCTGCCCTGTAAGTATTAGATTCTCCAAGCCCTCATTCCTCATTATGTGCCCGAGGAATTTCAACTTCCTCTTCCTGGTGTTAAGTATATAAGATTCCTTTTTGTTTCCATTTTCTATAAGACTTTACCGTTGCTTACATGTTCAGTGCATCGCATGCTCAGCATCCTTCTGTAGAACCACATTTCTGCTGCCTCAAGTCTCCTCTTCATCTGTGAGTAGATTGTCCAGCATTCACTGTCATATATGGTAATAATAATAATAATAATAATAATAATAATAATAATAGCTACTCGTTTCCGAATAGACTCGTCTAGTAGGATGGTTAGCTAATTATTGCTGCAAGCGCTCGCTCAAGTAATTCTGTCTTTCTTCAACGCTCACACAGCCAACTTGTGGTTTATACTGCAACTATGCCGAGCAGAATTTAGATACAGTCTCTAGCGTCACCATTCTTTTGAACAAGACCTGTATGCTCAGACCTTCAACCACGATGACTTGCGACTTCGTGCTAGCCTCCGAAGCTTTTCATCTACCCAAGACTTGGATCGTGACAATTTTCACTTTTCAACGGTTTCGCATTCTGGGGTCATCAACCTTGGTTGACTAATATCCTTAAAGAACCGTCCCGACATATCGAACACAGTGAGATTCGAACTTGGTTATCGTGATAACCAGTAGTTACTGTATCCCTATATGTATATATGACGATAAACTACATCCGTCAGCAAGGCCTCTGAGCGGGAGGGGTCCTGGATATAACGATAAACTACATCCGGCAGCAAGTCTTCTGAGCGGGAGGGGTCCTGGATATAACGATAAACTACATCCAGCAGCAAGGCCTCTGATCGGGGTAAGTGGTCCTGGATATAACGATAAACTACATCCGGCAGCAAGGACTCTGAGCGGAGGGGTCCTGGATATAACGATAACCACATCCAGCAGCAAGGCCTCTGATGATGGTCCGATATAACGATAAACTACATGCAGCAAGGACTCTGAGCGGGAGGGGGGTCCCAGCAGAGGCCTCTGATGATATAACGATAAACCACATCCAGGCAGCTGAATGTGGGGTCCTGGACATGACGATAAACCACATCCGGCAGCAAGGCCTCTGAGCGGAGGGGTCCTGATATAACGATAAACCATATTCAGCAGCAAGGCCTCTGATTCGGATGTGGGGTCCTGGACATGACGATAAACTACATCCGGCAGCAAGGCCTTTGAGCGGAGGGGTCCTGATATAACGATAAACTACATCTGGCAGCAAGGCCTCTGATCGGGGTAAGTGGTCCTGGATATAACGATAAACTACATCCGGCAGCAAGGACTCTGAGCGGGAGGGGTCCTGGATATAACGATAAACTACATCCAGCAGCAAGGCCTCTGATCGGGGTAAGTGGTCCTGGATATAACGATAAACTACATCCAGCAGCAAGGCCTCTGATTCGGATGTGGGGTCCTGGACATGACGATAAACTACATCCGGCAGCAAGGCCTCTGAGCGGGAGGGGTCCTGGATATAACGATAAACTACATTCAGCAGCAAGGCCTCTGATTCGGATGTGGGGTCCTGGACATGACGATAAACTACATCCGGCAGCAAGGCCTCTGAGCGGGAGGGGTCCTTGATATAACGATAAACTACATCTGGCAGCAAGGCCTCTGATCGGGGTAAGTGGTCCTGGATATAACGATAAACTACATCCGGCAGCAAGGCCATTGATCGGGAGGTTACGAGGGGTTTAGAACCATCTCTTAACTGCACTTGTTCCCACCCATATCCACCATGACCCGGGGTGGTAGCACCTGTTAGGGTCCCAGCTACAGGCAAATAGTGAACACAAAGCTGGCGTCAAAACACTATGAAAGTATAAAAGTACATTTTTATAGCAAAAATTTCCAGAAATAGATTTTAATAGTAAAAATAATAAAAATGTCCGCAATAGATTTTAACAGTAAGAAAAAAAATATACCTATGCTTCCAAGGAAACTAAATTTCGGCATTAAATGACCCATGAGGAATTGATATTCTATTAACCAAACGAATTGTCTGTTATAAAAGGAATGGGTAGGTTCGCCTATCGCCCGGTTCACACACCTCCTTGGTCTTTTTATTTTTTGTTTAGGATTGGGTTTCCGGTTCCTTCGAAAGTCTGCTTCAGCTCTATACACTTGTCCATTCCTACGCTAATATAAGTCCACACATTAGCCCACTACCTTGAGTGGCTCTTGGGCCTTGCATTGGGTGAACATTAGTAAAAAAACAAACAAACCAAAAAACATATTCAAAGGAAGATTTCATATATGTATTTAATAAGTTAACGCTAAAAAAATTTCTGCTCACAAGCGAAACATCACAGCAAATCGTTTTCTTTTGCCAGAAAAAAAATCAGCGCATTTGAGAGGCGGTGTCATTAAAAGTAAATAAAGAAAACATTTCTCATCTACCCTTCTAACTACCACCGTCTTTCCCACGTAAATAACGACAGGGTTGCGTGAGAATAGTTCTGCCAAAGATGCTGCATTTATCGGTATCAGAAACGATGGAATTGGTGATTGTCAAAGAAAGTGGTCTCTTTACTTTTGGAACCGAGGTTTTTGAGCACCTGTTCCAAAAAGCCGGCGTGATTAAGACTTGCTCACTAGTGGAAGAATCGATATTCAAACACTTTAGATTAACAGAAAACATATAACAATTCTATAAAATTCTTTAGAAGGGAACAAAATGTTTCTTCTCGAAGATTTCTAACTATTAAAATGTTTCTTTCAAAATTAATGCCTACAAAACTAGTAATAATATATATATATATATATATATATATATATATATATATATATATAGTCTAGGAGAAGGACAACTCTGAATTCAAAACCAGCGGAGGGTCGTTTGGGGATCCTGTGGCACGTAGTGCACCAAGTCTCTGTATTCGGCCCTTCAAAAAGTGGGGATGGTTCTGCACAATACTTTCACCACTATAATCAAATCTCATGTACTGTTGTCGGGCTGTTGGTTTCCTAGGAACTGATCTGCTTGACCCTCATACGTCGAATTCGATGGGAGAGTCGAGTGTATATATATACATATATATATATATATATATATATATAGATAGATAGATAGATAGATAGATAGATAGATGTACTACGAAATGGACACATTCCGACAATTATTTTAATATATTTCATTGTTATACGTTATTTATATAGACACAAATATTTACGTAAATGCTCTGTTTATAATGAACGGTATTAACAACATTTATCAGCCTGAACGTCCATTTCGTAGTGTGTGATATCATTTATTTACGTTAAGATACGCTTCGAGCAGATATGAACATTTGAGAGAAATCATGGAAAACTGGAGTTTTACAGCAGTAAAATGGAACTTGCTAACTGGTATAGCACATCAGGCTATATGATGGTTCCTGTAGGATACAGGTTCGATTTCTATCGGCAGACACATAATTTTATGGAAATTTCTCGGGCGTTCAGGCAAATGTTGTTAATACTGTTTATTATAAACAGAGAATTTACTTAAATATTTGTGTCTATATAAATAATATAATAATATATATATATATATATATATATATATATATATATATATAAAACGGAACATTGAAGTCAACACTCAGAAGCGAGATACTGTTTCATGCTAAACGCGCTGGACTACTGCGTCTAGCAGGAAAACAGCCTGTCGCCTCTGAGTGTTTACTTCAATGTTCGCTGTTATATTTACATACACTCTATTTCTGATATTCAGCACTTTATCCCATAAATATAGCACACCTTAAAACTATATTTCTTCATATATATATATATATATATATATATATATATATATATATATATCGGGTGTAACAGCAAAATTGTCCAAACCATGTAACAGCATAATTATCCATCCCACAAAATGTTTAATATCTAAGAAACAGTAAACTGAGTTTCCTTTTTTCCAGGTTTTCAGATAAGACGGTTGTCCATCTTGACAGCATTTGTCATAAGAATCACTGAAACACCCCTTGAGTTATTCAGCTAGAAAGAGAACAGTTTAAAATCGTTTTGTGTCAGACCCACTATATCTTCTCAACTGAGCAATGGTCAGAGGAAAAAGATCATTCAGGCCTTCAGTAATGGTACCCTGGCTTCCATCTTCAAAGTTCATTCAAGAACCATCACGAAAACGCTGAATAAGTTTAAAAACGAGCTAAATACATACTTATTGTTCAAAGTAGAGTCAAATAGTGTTATAAAAACCTTGGAGAATTCCAGTAAGATATCTTTAATCATTTCTAAGATACAATGGTTTAAAGCTTAATCTAACAATTGGACAATTTTGCTGATACGCGATTTGTACAATTTTGCTGCTACATATATATATATATATATATATATATATATATATATATATATATATATATATATATATATATATATATATATAATTAAGTATTTCCACTAAAATCGGGATACCTAATGTTTAAATTAATTTTTCAAAATGAGAAAAACTTTCTTGAGTCTTTCACTTTAGCTTTAATTGAAAGCTAAATGATTAAATTTACTATTTCCAGTAGGCAAAAAAGTTGTATTTCAAACAGAAATTTTATTGATTGGAATCAATTTTTTTTCAGTAACATCGTGAAAATCGTTAATATTTTAGATATCTATAAACACAGTTCTCGGTTTTAAAAATCTTGCAAAGATATACTTTTCTGAAACTTTATTTGAGGAATATTAGCTAATTTAAAGTATAATTAATGTGAATTGAAACAAATATTATTTACTTTAAGTTTAAAATATCTCAGAAATTACTTTTTTAAGCAACTAGTTGCTTTGTTTGTAACCAACAGTATCTGCGTTTATGAGTTTGCCGAGTTGATGGCAGATTGATTATTGTTCTACGAAGGCTTTATCTGTAAAACATAATTTAAGAAAATGACGTGAGCGCAATTTTATATATTTTTTATGTATTCAGTAATCTTAAAAATACATATAATATAAAATTATCGATTCAATCATTCGCCAAAAATAATGGTCAAATTGAAAGACTACTCAATACAATTTTCATAAAACGAAAATGTAGGACACGTTAAGGCATAAAATATCTGAAATCCTTCTGCACCCACGGGTTTCTATCAATAAATATATAATTGTGTGTTTGGGCAGCAATCATTCTTTTATACAAGTTTTGTTTAAAAAATCTGACATGCTACATCAGTTAAGTTTTTTTTATTGAAGTTTTCTTGTTTTCATATCACTTTTTTTTCTTTTCAGGACGTAAATTGTGGAGAAATTGCCCGAATGTTCTGTGTGTTCGATAATATATATATATATATATATATATTATTATTATTATTATTATTATTATTATTATTTAAAAATATATATTCTTCGCGACACAGAAATTACCATACTTTGGAACAAAAAACCTAACACTTAAATTAAAAAATTAAACTTAAAGTTTTTGTTCCATTCTCCATGGTTTAATTCAAGGTTTAGCTTTTAGTTCCGAAACATAATTTTTGTGTGGCGATGAATACATATTGTTAAATATTAATATTATATTATACTTCACTGTGTATCGAACATTGGTTTTAAAATAAATGCTAAAGAACTCTGGGTTATAAATCTGACTGTTCTTTCTTTTTTATTTTGATATATATATATATATATATATATATATATATATATATATATATATATATATATATATATATATATATATATATATATATATATATATATATATAAGGTATATATATCTATATAATATATAATAATCTATACTTTTAGTTTTTTTCTTTATATATATATATTTAAATAAATATATACATATATTCTAATTAATTAATTTTTTATTCATTATGACAGTCAGTTTTTGATTTATACCTGATGATTGCTTCGTGTATGAAACTCGAAGGTAGGAAACAAATGTATATTTATTTTCATATATATATATATATATATATATATATATATATATATATATATAAGTACAGGATTCGTGTATACAGAATAAATTGAATAACTAAAAATACTATTTTAAATGAGTGTTTAATACATAGTAGAGTAAATATAATTTATTCGAAAATTATGATATAAATATGTTATAAAATCACTGCAACACTAGCCATTTTGTTTCAACACTTCTGGTGTCTTATCAAGTGATTGTGTTGAATGTAGAATAAAGATTATTAAAACGTTCAAATCAACTAACCATATATATATATATATATATATATATATATATATATATATATGTGTTAAAAATATGGTTTTACGTTATTCTATATTTATGTTGAGCGTGTGAATATAAAATATAAGACTGAACACTGTTCCATGTTTCAATGCAATCTTCAGCCAACATGATTTGTAAATTGGCTCGACTATTTATATATGCTGGTAGAAGAATCGTTATGGATAGCACGATCAGCTATTTCCGTTTTATTATATTATCCTACCAGTTATTGGGCAAGCGACAATGAACACTTATATTTCAAATTACTCTAGATGCTATTCAGCATAAATAATTGTGGACCCGAATGCGGTTATGTGTATCGTGTTGTTATTGGTTACTTGTTGATTATTATTATTAAATTTAATTAGTTGTGGCTATGCGGGCATTCCTTATTAATTGATATTTTATTTATTTGTTTGTTTATTTTATTTATTTTTTGGTGGTGCTTGGCTATCTTATTTGTTTATTTTAAGGTATTGGCTTTATTTAAAATGTGCATTTTCTGCACTGAATATAATACATACAATTGTATTTTCCTTGGTGATGTTTTGAAATGTGTTCATTTTTGTCTTTTGATTTTTAAGTAACGTAGTGCACATTTTTTTCCTGTCTGCATTTTTGAAATGTTTTAGTCGTTTATTTAGTAATTTATGTTGGTCAAGGAAGGTGATTATAGCTATTTTATCCTCCAGAGAAAGTTTACAATTTCGTGACTGCTTGTTTTAGGCTGATGCACTTTTACTAATTTTCTATTATATTTTTGGTGTAATTTGTTTTTTATTTTTAATTTCTTATATATGTTTAGAAAGGGTTTTGCTGTTCGCGTAATTATGATTAGTGAAGGATATTTTGTATGCGTAGTTTCTCTGCTTCCAGGGTCTTTCTGTTTCTCCTATGTTTATTTTTCTTTGTTATCTGATGATTTTACTGTGGCTTGGCAAATTATGTTGTTTTGCATGCCATTTAAGTAACATTCATTGCTCTACAATTACAAGTGGGTTTGGTTTGTGCGGGAGATTTGTTGGTTATTTTTTGTTGTGCAAAAAACCATGTAATTGTGTCACGTTCTCGGTGCAACTGTAACTGAGTTTTACTGTGTTTTTGAATATCTTGTGGATTTTTATGAATTAAATTTACTATTAAATATCTTAAATATTAATGCGTATTGTTTGTTTTTGATTTTGTCGATTACTACAGTATAGTGGGGTCAGTTGGGCACCGTCTGTGCGAAAAGAACACCATGACGCAATTCACTCCACCAGAAACTTAGAAACGGTATGCTTGGTATGTACTGCTTGGTATTCGCGCTAGAAGCTGCAATATGAACATTTCAGGGTGTTTGGGTGTCGATCTGAAGACAGAGCAGATAATTCGAAAAGAGTTGGATAAGTGTAATGGTGATTACGAAGGTGTTTGGAATGATCGTTAATTATAGCAATGTTATGCCACCATTGATCTTCCCACAGGGCCTAAATCATCTGCTGAACTGAGTCAAGAGGGTGGACGTTGGAAAACCCTCTGTCTGGTAACAGGACCCTGCACCATGCCACACAAGCAAGAGATCACATTTATGGCTGTCATACAATTTCTGCGACAACATCACCCCTTACAAGTGGCCACCTAACTCTCTAAACTGCAACCCTCAGGATTATTAAATGCGTGGGGTGCAGTTGAGTGAGAGACCAACAAAACTCTTTATCATACCAAAGATAAACTGAAGGTAAGGATTATGGCAGCATTCACCAACTTAAACAAGGAGACTGTCCAGAAGAGACGCAGGAGATCCCAGAGTCGTCTGGAGGCCGTAGTTGAATCCAATGGTGATTTTATTGAATAAATTTACTCTTTATTATTTCAAGATATTCTTGTGTAATTTTGGTAAATATATCTGTTAAAATGATATGTCAGTGTTATTTTCATTTTTATTTAATTTAGACAACAATTTATCGATCGCACATCGTGTGTGAGTATATATATATATATATATATATATATATATATATATATAATAGCTGGCCACTCGTATTCGAGGATACCCGTCTACTGAGCCCAATATGGTTTATATTGCAACTATGCCGAACAGACCTTAATTACAGTTTCTGGGAGAGAGCGTGTTATCTAGAATGATGAACAATCTGAACAAGGCCAGCATACTCAAACCATCGGTTACGATGACATATAACTTTGTGCTAGCACAGCTATTGACAGCTGAAAGTGTTCTGGCCACCAAATTTCACTCACAACACTTGGATCAGCCCGTGGTATGATTTTCAGGCACTTTCCAAAAGTTCCGCACGCTGGAATCGTTCCCCACCTCCAAGACGATAACATCAGGAAGTCTCCTTCCTGACAAAACAACCGTGGTGAGATTCTTATGGTCAGAAAGCGGACGTTCTAACCACTCATCCAGACGCCCATATATATTCGTAAATAATTATATAGGCCACACTACAACGTTTGACACGCAGACTCACTATACACATTTTCTGACAATAGCTCAATTAGATCTCATTTAAATGTTCATGGAGAACAACAGGACACTATTGCTAACATACTTGTTGACAACACTAATATAATAGCATCATCTACATGCAAAAAAAGGCTAAAAATAATCGAAGCCTTATTAATAAAAAAACAACACTTAATAATATTAACTTTGAACATGGACACAATATCTTGACGGTGTTTTGAAAAATGAAAACATTTTATAAAACATACATACCATTTCTTATTTTAACAGTTAACATATTTCATCCTATTATTTTATTTATTCCTTATTTAAGAGTTTATATATTTAATCGTTGAAAATGGCTAAATGTATAGCCGAAAGCGCTCGAATAAAAAGAACATTAGGACAGTTGTTAAATAAATATTAGATCGCATGAGAAATTGTATAAAACTCTAAATAAAAGCACCTTGTCTGTCATATTCAATGAAATGTGCATGAAAGAAGGTTTTCTGCCTAAATACACACACACACACACACATACATACATATATATATATATATATATATATATATATATATATATATATATATATATTCTGTGTATCATTTTTTTTATTTAAGTTTAAAAATTTCGGAATTTGTTTTGTATTATCGATATGTTTTCCCAAGTTCAAAATTATTTTCTTCCCGAGGCCTTTCGAATATTACTACATTCATCTTCAAGGATTGTTTTGCTGAACAGATATGAGTGTCATTACATCACAGTTGTCTTTCTTTCCTCGGGTGGCTCCCAATCAGAGCAAGAGAAACTAGTCTACTGCGCTGTTAACTTTCAGTAGCTGGATGGAAAAAGAGAATAATCTATAACTTTCCAAAGGTATTCATACATACGTGAACGCAACTGCCTTGGCAGGAATTCGAACTTGACACTCCACTGTCACGTTTTCTTTCAATCCGTGCCATTTATATAAACGTATAATTTACTTTGGTAGTAAATGGTGTTACATATCAAGATTTTGTATATTTTAGTTTCTGTCAGTGTATATATAAATTTGAGCATATGAGCCAACATCAGAATATCATTTTGGCATATATATATATATATATATATATATATAAGAATGAAGAAAATAAGATGAAAAGAATGCAGTTAATCAAATTAAGCAAGTCTAAGATAAATGTCAGGAACAATTTTAAATGCCAATAATTTCGGTCTTTTTTTTCTACTCTCTTTTATTATTTATATGGACTATTTAATCTGAATTCTCCTTTTTCGTTTCTTTCTTTCCATCTTTATTTCTTATTTGTCTTCTTTTCTTTTCCTTCTTTCTTCCCATCTTTCCATTTTTATTCCAACAG